TGTGTGTGTGTGTGTGTGTGTGTGTGTGTCGTGTGTCATGACAGCAGATTTTGTCCTCACCAGTCTCTTTGCCATGGGGGTCTTATCCTCTCCGGGGAGGTGCTGCTCCAAGGCCAGGACAACACAGTTAGCGGTGATGGTGGCCAGGATCATGTACTCAAATGGTGTAAAGGCCGCTAAGTTAAGGAAAGTTTTTTTTCTTCACAGTGCAAGGACAAAGACGCCACATAAAAACAGATAAAGCTGATGACACAAGACAAGTTAAGTTCTCCTGGAGTTTACAGCTTAAATACACTGACGGCAATCACAGTTTTTCATACACGCAGCAATTATTGGAAACATCGTAGCGAATATTTTAAAGGTTCAGTGGTTCAGTGGAAGGTAAAATAAATAAAATAAAAAAATCTAGACGGATGCATGAGGATGATTAAATGACAGATGAATAATGGCATGGTTCATATTCTCTGGTATTGGAAGCAATCTGTTAGAGAGATTGCGGTAACCATGGCAACTTGCTTTTAAAAGTGCTTTTCATGAAGAGAAAGCGATCAGGTTAGGGAGGGAATGAGAGCACTGTGAAGTCACCTTGGCCTGAGTGGTCTACTGCACAAACTACAGGCAGCAGTTCCCGTGGCTCCTTTCACTGCCAACAACAGCCGACGCCGCAGCGGACGACACAGCACGCATTACACATTGTCTTTGTATGGCAAACACGCGTGTTCAAACATCATCTGGTAGCAACTAAAGAAAGGTTGCTTCTCAGACTGCTCAGTTTTAGGCTAATTCAATTCATTGTGAGGTTTTAATGAGCGAGCTTTTCCAAATGAAGCCAGAAGCAATCCAACATTCATCTGCAATCAACAGAAAATGACTCAACATCAAGTTTGATAATCGCTTAATCATTTAGGACATTCTTCAAGAAAGTAGGTCACTCATTCTGTGCTTCCTGCTTTTCTAAAGTTTGAATTTTCTGTTTTATTTGACTGCAAAGCAGTTTTGGACCGATGCGGACCCCTGTGAGGTTATCACGTTGAACTTCAGAGGGCAATCGGTTTCTAAATGATCATTAACGTCAGCTCTGATAAGAGGTGATATGTATCTAATATGAAAATAATGTTACATTTAAGTCACTCTCATCCATTATGAATTTCACCTTTATACTTAGAGGATAAATGTACAAATAAATGATAAGGGAAGGTACTGAAGGCTTAAATCCTGTGTTTGAAGGTTTTTTCAAATTGAATTTATTTAAAAGAAATTAGCAGATCAACAGCAAAAGAGAAATTCTTTATACGCACAAGCAAACATGTTCTCTATTTGGATGATTTGCTGTTTTTCTTTGTCTCTTGTGACATTAAATACTTTTTTTTTTTGAAGTCTTAGTTGGACAAAAAAAGAGTTATGAAATTTATCATGAGATTTTTTTTTTAGAGTCAGACTAGACAAAAGTTGGCACATAATATGGTCAGTGTCATATTGTCCTATTTAATTCAATTTATATAGTGCCAAATCACAGCAACATTGGCCTCAGTGTGCTTTTTTTATTGTAAGTTAAAAACCGTATAATAATACATCCTATGAGAAATACATTTTGCTGCACATGTTGCAGCAAACATGCTTTGTAATAGATACTGTTTCAAAAATGCAGTATCAGTCAGCTTGATTTGTTATCCATAGAACTGATGAGTTAAAAATAACTAAGAAAAATCACAGATGTACCAACTGTAAAAACAGTGCGTAGTTGGCTCTAAAATATTAATATTAAACCAAATTTTTTTCCTTCAAACCAGTGATTTTAAACTCAGTGGTTTAAATGCAGAATATTAACATAACTTAAACTAACACAACTTGACCTGAGCGGATCATTGCCAGTTTTCTTGCGAGTGAAACATCTGTCTGCACCTGTATACATGCATGGGCCCAAGGGGTGCACAATATGGACATGAGCATTGGCATACGCTGCGTGTGACTGTATGCACCCCAACACTTTCAGTCTCTCAGAGTTCCCATGAGGTCGAAGCTCCTCATTATTAATTTTCCTGCCATGAGTGAAATGGGGTCACTGACTCACAAGGGAGCGCTGAGATGAGGACCTCTGGGACCTACACTGACTCACATTGACAAGTCCGCATTGTTGCCATTGAAAGTGGATGAAAATAGCTAAAGTGGGAAATACTTAATGGGCCCACTCTGTTGTTAACTGTTAACTGTTACCTGTTAAGTATTAGTCATTATGCAAGTTTTAGCCCAGTTACACAAATCACGCTCACTGCTTATAGCCAGAACATCACTCTGTCCAAGAAGCAGCTCTTCTGCAAATCAAATCCATGTCCAGGGAACTTAGAACAAGACTAACCCAATTCAAATTACTACACCACATTTACCGCTGAGCACATAGATTATACAGGGATGTCAGACTAGGGTGGACACATATGATTTGGAGTTGTCCTAAAACCCCAAATTTTTGGACTGAGGTCGGTTATTCCCTTTTCGCCAAGATGATTCGCCAAGATGATCATTCTAGGTAATCCATCACCCCTCATACAGGCTACTGAATAAAGTGGAGAGATTTCACCTGAAGTGGGATCCATACATTTTCAAAAATAAAATGATCAAATTAAAACTTAGAGTTAGATGGACACTGGGATCCTATCCTTAAGTCACACATAGATAAATCGCCACCGCCACCCTTTTTTTCTCCCTTTCTCTCTTTTTTAGTTTGGTTCAGATCTCCCCACTGCTCTACTGTCGTGCTGATGCAATTTCTGCCTCGTGTGGTTTGTATTTACACTGGACTGGTGGTGTTTTTCCAATAAAAATTCAATAAAATATTAATTACAAAAAATAAATCAAATCAACCATATAATAATAATAATAATAATGATATGTACAACTGAGCAACAACCAAATCAGTGTAGCACTCAAAGTAACAGTTATTTGAACGGCCTATTGCTCTTCCTCTGCCGCAATTTCTAGTCTAAAGCCCAAATGAGTTTACACAGCCAACAGCAGTCAACCCAAACATGCTTCATGTCCTTTGTGTTTTTAGACACAAAGGACATGAAAAATTTAATGAAATGACTTAAATGATGATGCAGTGATTGATTTCATTCACTGAATACGAAGTAAACAGGCAGTAAAAACATATTTGAAGCTAACTCTTTACACTGCAATCAATTATAGCCAGGCAGTTCACAGCTTGTTTTGTCAAAGCTACATTAAAGACGTTTGACAATAATTAATGTGATGGATAACGGGACTAAAGAGAGTGTCAGGAGTCTGCTAGAGGATCTTAATATTGCATGCAAGTAAATGGAAACAAATGGCTGTCTGCAAGGCAGAATGATGTTTTTATAATCTACAGGATATAATGCAAGCAAAACATGTCAGCAGTCGTGATTTGTCCTCCGTGAGATAAAGATTGTAATATTGAAAAAAACAGCTGGCACTAATTTTTATGTACTAAATCACTTTCTTTAGATCAATTAAATCGATAGATTACTGTAGTTATAAAGACTAAATAACATGCAGGAGGCTGGGATGGTGCAGCTTATTTAACCTGATTATTTTTTACCTACAAATGTCCCAGTCATTGATAATTTTGCGCAAATCCTAATATTCTGGTATACATTTGCAACAGCATACACTCTATCAGTGCACCGCCAATCAGTGTAGCTTGTTCCTGTAAATTTTGAACCTCAAATCTCGAAACTTTATTCACTCTGTCAACACTAATGACAGTGATGCTCTCACAGCCCACGATCCACGGCAGTACTACTGGCCAGCTCTCTCCCACATACCTCTGCCTCGGTGATACCGACAGTCACATTACCATGCTGTCAGTGGCCAGCTAGTCTTGACCACTAGCCCCACTCCCACACACCCACAGAGCCTGTGGTTAGGTAACAGTGGGAGACTGGCACGCGGCACTGGAGGGGGTGTAAGACAGGAGGAGCAGTGGGCAGATATGGCAACTCAGAGGTGCTGCCAAACTGATTTTGGTATCAAAACACTGAAGCAGGAAAACAAGCCAAACTGGAACAGATAAAATACAAAAATAAATAAATAAAATTAAATAATTCTAATTTGCAAAAGTGATTGTGCACGGTTGTGCATGGCTGTTGTATCTATGGGATAAATAACTTCCCAGATAAGCTTTGTTAGATTTGCACTAGTTCAGAAGAGAGAAACTGTTGGCCAGTTCTGCAGCAGGAAGCGCAGAAATGCTGCCTGGTAGGTTTGAACTGACACCTACTCATGGCCAGGTTCATATTCCAATGAGCACTAAGGCATCAGAGATGTGCCTACATGCCACCCCCACAGTGAGCAGAGCTGCTTCTAATGATCACCACATGCTAACTTTCTGGCTTCTGCCAACAAAAAAAATGGAGCCCACAGATGAATTTAAGTTAGTTAGCAGAATTATGAACAGGTTAGAAATCATGTTTGATGCTTTCAGGAGCAGCTGGAAATCATAAAGTGGGTTATGGAGACGCTAAACACAGAGATGTAGGATATATGGCAGCATGCACAACACAGAGACGGGACTGAGATTTAGAAGGTGGACTTTAAGAGGAGTTAGATTTTTTTCTAAGCTTGCTCACATGCTGGCTGTCGCTGTCCATGGTGCTGAACTCACAACAGAACTCATCAGACAGCTTTAAACAGAACTCTAATGCTTTAAGGAAGGATATGGCCATTCAATGATTCGCCTCGCGTATTTCCTAATTATGTTGTCCTCTGCAAAAATGAAGAGCGACCTGTTGACTGTGAGGCAGTTCTGCCGGTGGGGGACGGGGTTGTACAGAGCCATGGTCCGGGCCCGCTGCGCCTTGGCTTGTTTCATGGAAGCAGTCAGTCCCGCCGCTGCCGGGTCCTGCCCGTCGCCACCGCCTCGCTCCAAGTCCCCATCCCCGGAGTCCACCGCGGTGGGAACTGACTCGTCTCCAAAACGAGCCATTCTACAGAGAGATGAGGAGGAGACGACCGGCTTAGAGTGTTTTACCAAAGTGCGATTTCAAATAAGATAAAAAGAGGAGAGGGGAAATGTGAAGTGGAGCTAAAAGAAAAAGAAAGGGGGAAAAAAAGATCCACCTTCAATCCACTGACAGCTTTTCGAGCGCCAAGATTCCCCAGAAAGTTAGATTCCTATCACTCCATATCCACAAGAGGGTAAAAAAGGTGGGGGGATATCATTCAGTTGGCTTATGGGTCAGGAAAATCTTCCATGCACTTAATGAAGATTCAGGTGCACAAGCTGCAAAAAACAAACAAACAAACAAACAAAACCTCCGCTATCCCATCTGTTAAACCGCGCCAACAGTCCGCTCTGAGCAACTTTTAACGCGCGCGTCTCTACCGTAAACTCACGCAGCGGAGGAGGGGTAAAAAAAAATCCACTGAGTTAAGACCTTTTATTTTCTATCAACATCCAAGCTTGTTTTGATCTGACAAACCGGGAGCAGCTACACGATCACAAACTACTCTGAGCTCATCAGACGGAGACATCCGAGGAAAGTCTTTCCAAACTTTGCGCATCTTCCCGAACTTGACGAAAGGAAGCTTTCGTGCGAAAGGAAGCCCGTTTAACGCGACTAAACCCGAAACTCCTGCGTGCAGCAGCAAGGCTCGCCTGCCTAGACGGATCAGTCAGTCTTATCACCTGCTGGAAAATTATCAGCCAAGAGCGCATAAGCAGCAGCAGCCCCCTCCCACAGTACTATTTCACTGCAAATTCCATCTGAATGAAGGCTGGCGGAGAGGAGGGACATATATTTTGTTACCATAGCAATTAGAGTTTGTTGAGGATGAACAAAAACATTTTCCTTAAAAGAAAAAAGAAAAAAAAAAGAGCAGAAGACTATATTCAGCAGGCTGTGTGGGTATGTGGTTCAGAATCCATTATGTAAAGATGTTTGTGGGTGCTGTGGGAAAAGAGAGGGGTGTTAAAGCTAAATAAAGCCAAATACTAGACAATGCACAGAAAAGACAACAGGTGTGTGGGTACATAGAACGAGCAAGCAAGTAAAGAAGTTGCTCTTACATACATACATACATCATATA